GCTCCCCCATGCTATCCCTACCCATAATCTCTCATCCTGGGATCAGGAGGGGCAGGAAACAAAGGAAGCCAAGACCTCCTTTTCTGGCTGATTTCCCCATCCCTCTTTCCTCCACAGAGGGACTGAAGGGGACAGGGATGCTCAGTGTCCTGAGCCTTTGCCCACTGCAGCCAGGCTGGTCACACACATGTTTGAGTATTGGAAGTGCTTCACACTGGTGCAATGACCACTGCGATGGGAGGTGTAGTAGGTGCTCAAAGTGTGTGTGCACATATGTGTCTATATGTACATTCACGTGTGTGCAGGGCTGCTCCAGCCCTGGCCCAGTAAGGCTGGTAGGAGGCATTAAGCCACAGACCCCACTGCCTGCCAGTACATGGCAGTTGGGAGACAGCCCATGAGTTTGTGTCCAGGTAATTCCTGGTTTGCCTCCTCCTGGAGGTTTTTGATCTTCATAAGGCAATGTCCTAGACAGCTGGTGGTGTGTTTTGCAAGTCTATGGCTTGCACAAGGTTCCCAGCAAATTCAAATGTAGAAATTGCACATGAGCCCTCCTTATGTCCTCCAAGTTTCTCTGTCCTGTATGGTCACCATCTATGTCCTTGGTTTCCCATCTGTGGTTGTCCATAAACACAGAGCCCCATGGCTCCATGATGTAGTGGAGAGCTACACATGGAGGAGGTGGAGGCTTCAGTTTGTCTTCTGTGGATGAGAAATGGGGTGCATACCTGTTTCAGCCATGCACATGAAGAAGCCTCCTATGGTTTGCATCTACCCCTCCTTTCCATGGACCACATGGATCACAACAATGATCAGAGGGATGGAACACCTCTCCTATGAGGACAGGCTGAGAGAGTTGGGGTTGTTCAGCCTGGAGAAGAGAAGACTCCAGGGAGACCTTATTGCAGCCTTCCAGTACTTAAAGGGGGCCTATAAGAAAGACGGGGATAGACTTTTTAATAGTGCCTGTTGCAATAGGACAAGAGGTAATGGTTTTAAACTAAAAGAGGGTAGTTTTAGACTAGATACAAGGAAGAAATCTTTCACAAGGAGGGTGCTGAAACACTGGCACAGGTTGCCCAGAGAGGTGGTATATGCCCCATCCCTGGAAATATTCAAGGTCATCCCTGGAAACATTCAAGATCAGGTTGGCTGGGGTTCTGAGAAACCTGGTCTAGTTGAAAGATGTCCCTGTTCATTGCAGGGGGTTTGGAGTAGATGACCTTAAAAGATCCCTTCCAACCCAAAGAGTCTATGACTGTATCTAGAGCAAGGCAGGTTCTCCCCCACCCTGCCCCTAGTAAGCCTTTTCCCAGTGCTGATGATTCTCTCCCCCTACCCTTCCTCTGTACATTATGTGAGATCTCCAGAGTTCTTGATTTCCAGATAAATTAATGCCAGGCCCTGGACGTGTTGCCAATCACTCCCTGATGGAGCAGGCTAACAAGAGGAAAACGGTCTCAGAGAAATCATGTTGGGGCATGGGAGAGAGGTACAAATGTGTACACACACACAAAGCCCCCATGTAGTCATACAGTTTCATACACGTTCATTCCCTGCGTACACCTGTAAACCACACTGAACACACTCCCTCTGTACACACTCTGTTGTGATCACACACAGTTATACACACACTATTTCTCACATACATAGATATAGCCACACAATCCCATGGTCTCACACGCTGACCTTGTGTGTGCACATGCACACACACGCGGGGAGAGAGGCACAAACCTTACGACTTACATATACAATGTCTGCTGGGCCTATGTGAAGTGCCTAGCACATTAGGCAAGGGCCCTGCTCAGGTAAGGCTGCTCCTCGTGGGTGGTGGAGAGGGGCCCAGTACAGCCATCTGGCCAAAGTTCCTGTTCTCATCAGCCCTGCTCAGAGCCAGACACAGAGGGAAGACTCTTGGCCCTGTGTCTCCTCTCCCTTTCCCTCTTCCTCTTCCTTCTCCTCCGCCTGATCTGGTCAGAGGGCACATCTCCCCATTGTGGTAAGGGAACATGGAAACCGCTGTGAATAAAAGTGTGTACATGATCAAGTCTGTTTCCCATCCTGTGGGCTCACGGGCTGCCAGGAAAGATCAAGCCACAGCCCTGTGGGCATCTGGCCTCCTAGTCCTTTCCTACTACCTACCTGGCACTGAGGTGAGAACACAGGCATCCTGGTTCCCAGTCCTGTCCCAGCTCCCTCTTCTGTTCTCCCCTCCTTGTATGGTTACCAGTGTCTCTCTTTCACCTGCAGGGAGCATGGAGGAGTCTGAGCAGCTGTTGGATGTGGTGATTCTGCTGTGAGGGGCACCACTGAGACTGTAAGCTCTCTGTGAAAAGGGGGCTGTTTCCAAGACTTCACTGCAGCTCCCCTTCTAAGCACGACATCCCACTGCCCAGTGACTCTGGCTCAGCCATGGCCCGTCCACTGACAATCAGGGCAGTGGTGTTCCTCCACTGGGAAACAGGGAATCAAAGATTATTAATCGTCATAATAAAGCCAAAGTTCTTAGTGTCCTCCCAGCAGGGTGAGTATTTGGCTTGCTCTCATAACTCGCTACTGCTGTCAAGGGGATGGGCAGAATGCCTGGGTTCTCTCCCCATGTGTGTTTAGGGACCTGGATACCTCAGTTCTTACTCCTCTCTTGAGAGGAGTGACAGAACTTGAGGCTTAGGAGATGGAACAGGGTAGGAGCCAGTGCTCTCACACTTGCCCTGGCCCCATGCCTGTGGGACTTCAGTTCAGGTCTAGCATGGGGCAGTCACCTCTGTGGAATAGGAAGCACTTCATGCTTTCATGCAATGTGTTTGATTCCTTGTCTGGTGTTGCAACAGCTCCATCCATGCCTGGCAGGGGCCAAATCATGGTAAATACTATGAAGCCCTACACCCTGTCTAAGACATAGACTGGGAGATCCGGAGATCTGGGAGATCTGTAGTGTATAGCTGCTGTTCCCACTGTGCGTGTGGTTGTGTGAGGCAACTGGAGGAGCAGGGAGATCGGGGCCAACTGGTGGGTAAACTCAGCATCTAAGGCCAGTTACTGGGATCAAGCATGTGTGTGAGCATACATGCAAGCGTGCTCAAACCGGCTCATGAGGGATTGTATCTGTGCATGAGGCAGGCAGGGGAGTGGTGTCTGTACCATGAAGTGGCATTGGGGCTGCAGGCCTCAGGGGCTCATACAAACAGGTCTGTTAATACCACCTGTGTTTGCATGAGTGTTTCTGTCTGTATTGATTTGTGTGGCTGCCTGTGTGTATATGTTTATTTGTATTGTGTATGTGTTTGTATGCCTACTGGGAATGCATGCTCAGCCTTGCTAGTGGGTGGAGCTAGGGAAAGGGAGCTTGTGGCAGCCTGTCCACTATTGGGCTATTGGTTTCAGTAACCCCAAATAAAATAGTTAGAACTGACCATTCACTTCTAGCTATCTTGGAGTATTTAGGACATCAACCAAGCCATGCTTACCGCACAGAACTTTTTAGATGGACGGTGGTACATTTTGTCAACATTAGGCTTCCTATGTTTCACACCAACTTTGTCAATACTTTTTTTTGCCACAGCAGTTCAGAATCTGTGAAGATGGGCCCAATCTTAGACTAAGTGAAGAAAAGAAAAATGGTGTGGAATGCAGCAAGGATGACCCTGTGGTTTTACAGTCCTAAATTTACGGGAGGCAGGGGAAAGAAAAAACGACTAGAAGTCTTTAGTCTTTGTTGGTATTGCCTGCAATGTCATGCATGCTGGCAGCAGGAAGTATGGAAGCATTTACACACAAGCACAGCTCCCCCATTCATTTATTATGAAATGTAATTCCTACTGCAGTTACAGAAGGGCCTCACTGCTGCCTTTCTCATGACAGAAGCCAAGTACTAAGTAGGCCATGAAGACTGAGTTGCTCTTTTGCTCATAGTACAGAAGTTAAAAAAGGGTAAATGCAAATAAATGCAGTTTAGACACTTACCTGGACAAAGGTTAGTTGAGCGCCTCCACTCTTGAGTAATTCTGCCTTACTTCAGTCAGGAGATATTTGATTTCAGCTCACAGACATTAGTTCGTGTTATGCTCTTCCCAGCTGGATTAGTCTGCTCTTGTGCTGTAAAACAACCTCCCTTGTCTTACACTGTGTTGCTTGATTTTGCATCCAAGGCTTGCGCAAATCACTCCTGCTTGAAGCTAAATCTTCCTGAGGGACCTCCAGGATGGAGAAAGCTGTATGTCCAGTATGTTGCATGACTAGGAAGGCCAGTGTTGACTTACACCAATCATCTGAGTTCAAGAAATATTCAAGACAAGATCTCCTCCAGAAAAACACATTAATGAATGTCCAATACTGTAGAATACTGAGTCTGATGTCCACTTTAAAGTCTGGGTGATCAGGCTGGACTTAGAAACCTCAACCAGTTGGAGTGAGCGTCCTGTTCACCCGAGTCCAGGGTGCTGGCCACAGCTGACCTAAGGGGTGCAACTGATATGTTAGCTGTACAGAGAGCGTACATGCATGTATGTGTGTGTGCACACACGCCAGAAATCTTAGAATAGAAATTGCAAACCACCCGGTATATCCAGCCCACTTAGTAAATATATTTCAGATTCTATGTCATTGAATGCTGTTTTCTTCTTGTGACTATCTGACCCCTAAATCACCACATGACAACAACTCTGCATCCTCCCTTGTTAGTGCACCTGTGCTGGTTAACCTCCTGGTAGTATTTAGCATCTGTATTATGTTCTCATACCCATGTCAGTGTGTCTCAAGTTTTTGGCCCATCAGAGGCAGCTCCCCTTCCTGTTTCTCATCAGCTATAAATACAAGACTGGCTTGGTGAGTGGTAGTGAATCACAGGAGACAACACAGTACAACTCTGCATACAGAGGTATAGAAGACCTTTCTGTCTTTCTTCCATATGTCTCTTCAATAGAGAGACATAGGCCAGACCATCTATTTTCTAAAAGTCCATGTGTATAAGTACAGGTTTGTCCTCAGCCTCTTGTGCTAGAGCTGAAAGAAGCACTGGTTTTGTATAAAACTCAACCATTTTGGGAACACTGGTGAGAGACAGTGATGCGTTTCTTTGGGAGACCTTTACAAAAAAGTCCCCGAGAAGGGATAAACTCTAAAGCTTACTCTGTGATCATACTTCCAAGGAGTATGCCCAGCAATAACAGGTGGATGAAACATAGAGAATACTTTCCTGCTAAGCATACAAAAAATTTTTTGTCCTGTAATGAAATCCTGGAAGCATTCCTGTTTGTATTCACATGGGAGGGTTTCTAGTCTAGACTTCAGTGCAGACTATGTGTGTAGACATTTTTCTCTGTGCATTAATGTTCTATATGTATTTCCACCATTACAGGTGTCTTCTGACACTATCTGCCACACAGAATGTTCTTACTGGCCCTCATCTTACTGTAGCAGCCCTTTCACAGCACCACCAACATTGTGGATCTGCACTTGCCTAGTCTTGTAACATCCACACTATCTCTTGCTCTCGCCCAGCATGGAAAATGTCCAGCTCCCACACAGAAGGTGCCAGGATGTAATGCTGTTACTGGCCCTCACCTTCCCTTAGCAGTGCTTTTACAGCCATACCAACACCAGACCTCTGCACTTGCTTAGTCTCATAACAGCCGCAACAATGTCTTATTATATGAGTTACTTCCTTGTTCAAATGGAATCCATTGTATTAGTAAAAAGCCTTAGGCCACAAGATGTGAACTTTCACCTAGATACTGTTGAACTTATTACTGAACTCTTACTTAGTTACATGAGGGAAGCCCTGAAACTGGTGTAAATTAGAAAGGTACTATAGGCACATCCATCAGCAGAAGCTGCCTCCTCAAGAAAAGAAAAAGAATGCCCCCCCACACCGAGAGGGTGGAAGGATCCAGTGAGGAACAGGAGACTCCAGACCCAAATACTACTATTGGACCGAACCACCTTGTGAGGGGACGAGAACTTAGATTGTAAGGGTATAATTGCCCAGAGATTCTTTTATTTGGGGTCCCTCTCTGGAGGCACCTAGCTTGAGCTCTTCTTCAGTGCTGTACCACTTAATAACTTAATCTGGCATATGTCATGTCAGGGATTCTGCTCTGGGAAACCTGCTTCTGCTGCTTACATATTGTCAAAACCAAGGTCAGTTTGTGACTGAAATGCTCACCGCTGGGATTCGAGTCTCCAAGAGGTTGGTTTTTTCTCTTCTCCATGGAGGATCTGGAAAAGGATGGGGACAGAAGAGCAGAGACTGCCTGGATCTGCCTGATGCAGGGGCAGCAGGGGCTCATCATGTTATCTTCCTTCTCCAGCAAAAAACAATCTTGGGAGAGTGACCAAGTGTTCAGAGTTTGTGACTGCTGTGCTGACTTGGGCATTGGTAAGAGGCAAAAAGCATGATGCCCCTGTGCTGGGGTCAGAGGCCAGGCTAGGCCTTGTAGGGGTGGCTTAGGGTAGACTTCAGGAGGGCTGTTGTCACCACCATGATGGCCTCTCCTGCCCCAGGGCTTGGTGACTGTGCTGTTGACCTTCCTGTCTCCCGTCACAGCCTCCAGTGACAATTCAGAGCTTGCCAGCTCCAGCACTGCAAGCCATGCGGCATCGGGCCCATCCCATGGCTTCCTGGTGCCTGAGAGCAGCAGGCCCAGCACCATCACCCAGGCACCACTGGGGCCATCCTGCAGCTCCCCAGCACCTGGAAGAAGCAGCCACTCCAGTCACCATGGGCCAGACCAGATTCGATGCCATGCACGATTACAGCATCAGGCACAAAAAACATACAGCCAGTCTGGAAGATGCTGCTGATCAGTCATGTGTGAGCCCCAAGTGCTGGCAATAAAATACAATAAAGTTGGCTGCTCATCTCATCTACACTGGGAGATCCCACACTCACTAGTTGGTCATCTTCCTCTGCCTTTCTTAAGGGGTAGTGTTAGCGAATGGAACTGAGGGGTTGTCTTATCATCTGCCACAGTTAACAGTGCCATCTCCAGACCTTCTTCCTTATGGGCTAACCTCGGCCAGCTGCCCATCACCTTGGCTGTGTGCTTCAGGCATTGCTGGCCTTGGGAGGCTGCTGTTCAGTGTCACTCTGGAGCAGTGTTTTCCCTTGGTGGGATGTTCATACCCATCCCCCCTGAGCTCAGTCTGCATGTGCAGTCTCTGCCCCTTCCCCACTCCCCTGCAACAGCTCTTCCCCACGTCCTGGCACAGCTCTGCCATGGTACTCCCTGCCCCAGGGAGGGCAGCCTTGCCAAGGGTGCCCTGACTGGGCCCCAGCTACCTGGCCAGGGGGTGGTATTAGCGCAGCTGGGCTGGCAGTGAGGGTATTGATGAACCTGGGCCTCCAGGGCTTCTGGCTCCAACCTGTGTTCCTTGTCCTGACTGAGTTGGAGGGCCCAGCCTGAAGGCTGTTCCTGCTGCCATGGTGTTGCCTCAGCATCCAGGGTGCAGGCTCTGGGGCTGCTGTGCTTCACTGGGGCTTGGCAGTACTGCCAGTATTGGAGGGTGCTGTCTGGTCTGGGTGTAGGCACCCAGTTTGGGGTTGTTTCTGCATTTTCTTTCTGGACTTGAGGGACTGTTGGCAGGTTTAAGGTTGTGCCCCTGGGCTTGGGGGTGTTTGTGGGTTTGGAGTATGTCGACACGTTTTGGGGTGTGTGTCTGGGTCTGGTGGGTGCTGCCAATTTTAGGGGGAAACTTCAGGGTTTGGGCATGTTGTTCTGTCAGATGTGTGCTGCCAGGTGTGGGGTGTATCTGGATTTAGACAATGCTACCAGGTCTAAGGGTTATTTTTAGTTTGTGGGTTCTGCTGGGTTGAAAGCTGTTGAAAACAGTATCTGCTCCAGTGGAAACAAACTCTGTCCCTGAAGCAGAGCCAGCAGTGCATCTCATAAGGTGCTGGGCACCAGTGTGGTCATATGCACTCTGGCTGCTTGTTTCAGCAGCTCTGGTACCCAGCTGGCCAGCCTTGAGAAAAACAAGGGTTCGACCATCATATGTTTTTAGCTGGCCTTGTTTGAGGTGAAATCATGTCGCTCATGTTTAGAGCACTTTAAGACAGTACACACTGTGCTGTCTTGCTCTGCCTTGGTAGTAAATGACATGCTTCTGTTTACAGTTTAATTGCCTTATTCCTTCTGAATCTCTGATGCAGATCACTCAGGGCCATTGATCAGGGTTGATTTTTTGCTTTGTGCCTACTATTTTGCCTGGCAGTGCTGCAGGAGGGAAGACAGGCAGTGGTGCTCCACTGCTGGTTGCCAGCGTAGCCATGGAACAAAGAGGCTTTAGGAAACTTTCCCAAGTCTAGCTGAAGCTCAAGAGTTTTTCTGCCACTGGAGTTGCTATGACACTTACATCACTTGGCAAGTTCTCTAACTTTTATTGGGTTCACCTCAGTCTCTTACCTGAGGTTGTTGGCAAGCACTGAATTCATGCAGCCTGTGCTCTCGTTGAATCTTCTTGTTGCTTTTTTGTCATAAAGTGGTTTGTCAGACAACAACAAGGCTTCTAGTGATGGTTCGCTATCTGTATATTCAGAAATATGAGATGGATGTAAATTAACATTTTTAAGCTAGATGAACACAGCAACTTGAATTTATTATGTATGTCTTGGCACATGTCAGATCAGCTCTGATAGCATCCTCTGCCTTCTGGTGATACTGGGTATGATCATTAATATTTAGTTTTGTGCTAGTTTTTCCCCTGTAACCACTTCCAGTACTTCTTCCTGCCTTTGCTTTTGTCCCTATGAAACTGACAGCTGTTCTCTGGGTCTTTTGCTTGGTAGTCAATATATTATTTTGTAGTTTAGTTAATTTGCACTTCTCTGTTTTTTGCTCACTCCCTCTCTGTTTTGGATAGCTGAATAATGTAATAATCTGTTTAATAGAACCAGGTGCATGTTCATCTATTAAAGAATACAATGTAGGAGAGAAAGGCAGAAGTGTCTCATCAGGACACATGTAGAAATGCAAGATGATTGACAGTTTCTATTGTGTTTGGCAGTGGTGGTTGTTGTAGCCCTGTGCTAGCTCAGTGCTTCTAGCTGAAACTTGGTGTTAAGGTTGCCTGTGAGTTTTTTGCTTGGTTCTGCCCATGCCTTTGGTTGGTGTGGGATCTCCATGGTTGGCTGCAGTAGGGCTTAATGCCATATCTGTGAGGCTAATTTGTCTGTCTGGGAAAATTTTGAGCTGTTGGATACATGGGACTGAGTGCAGGGAAGGCATCTGTCTTTGGGCTCTTTTGTGATTTTGCTACCGCAAGGACGCTGACTACTTTTTCACTTATCCTTGTTGTTCAGTTGAGGTACATCAGCCTTCAAGAAAGGAAGAAGTCTAAAGGGACCATCCCTCCCAGAAAGTTTTGTTCTAGGTGTCTGTTTGTCTGATATTCACTGAAAACAGTTCTGGGCCCTCTCTGCTCTTGGTGAGCTAGGGTTGTGATGGGAGGAGGCAAAGTGTGTGATGTTACTTTGCCATGAGGTCTCCTGTCAACGTGCCTGGGAATATTCCATCTGCCCAGATGTTTTGTTTTCAGTATTTCTAATTTCTTTGCCTGGTGATGAATGATTTGAAAGCACTGAAATGGTAGTTTGTCAGAATGGGCTTGCTCTTCTTCCTCCCTTCCACCCTTCTCTCTGGACTTAACTCTTTGGTAGAGAGTCCAGTAGCAGTCAACTAGGCCTTGAAAATAACATTTGCCATATGAAAGCAACTTTTATGGTATGATATCCTGTCTTTCAAGGCCTGAATTCCTCACAGGGGAGCCCGCTGCAGACATTTCTCTGGCTGTCTCATGCTCTCCTAACCTCCTTCCACAAGTCCTTCTCCATGCTAGCTGATGATTAAGCTGGTTTGGTGAAGACACTCATGCCAACCAAAACTGATTCTTTAGTTCCACTTCTCTGTGTCTTCACATTCACCTAGAATAACTAGCAACTCTCACAGTAAAGGTTGAGCCTACTGGGGTCCCTCACAGACCTGCAGCATGACCTGTGTTTTTTCATGAATCCTTGAAAAACTTGGAGAACTTGCATGGGGTGGCAATGTTTGCTGTTGTTACGAAGCTATTTAGAGCAACGTAAACAGAGGATGGCTGGGAGAGAGCCACCTTGCTATAGCTACCATCATTCAAATAGTGGCTAATCCTAAACTGTGAAGCCATGCTACTTCAGGCCTCCATCCTCGGAGGTTTTCTAGGCTCCACTGGATGATGCCCCCAGCATCGTAGTTTGACATCCTCACTGGTGCTGCCTGGAGCTGGAGGACTGCAGGATGGGTGCCCCTCCTCCCCGCTCCTGGTACCCTTTCAACTTGAATGAACTTACGACCTTGTGATTTCCCTGCTCTTTTTTTCCACTCTGCTTCCCCCTGTCCCCGCATCCACCTAGATCTATTTCTTTTGTCTGCCTTTGGTCTTTCCCGAGGAAGACAGTGTGCATGATCTCCCAGATGCCCATGGGGCACGCACACGAGGCCTGCACAATTGAGGAGTGCTGCAAACTTTGTGCCTTGGCTTAGTGGAGGGCAGCAGCTCTGAGTGCTGAACAAAGGCAGCCCTTTTTTCCCTGGAATCTCCTCTGGCAGTAGTGGGGGCAGCATGCTTTGGGCAAGCTAAGAAAGGCGGCTGTGGAGGGAAGACCTTAGGGTGTGCAGCATGGCCGGACTGTTGTTAGTTTGCAATCCTGCAGGAGACCCTTTGGGAGGCCACTATCTGTCCACTACCAAGCTTCTGGGGTTTCTCCATGGCTCTGGTCCTTTCATGAAGCAACATCAGAACCTTGGCATGGCTGTCTTTGCAGGATATACCAGCTTTGCAAGAAGAGGAGGAGAAAGAGGAGGAGGAACACCAGGAAAAAGGGAGAAAAAGGAGGAATAGAAGGAAGATGAGGAGGAGGAAGAGAAAAGGCAAGAACAGGCACAGGAACAGTAGAAGGAAGAGGAGGAGGAATAGCAGGAGGAGGGACAGGAGGAACAGGATTAAAAAGAGGAAAATAAATGAGGAAAAGGTACAGGAGAACAGGAGGAGGAATAGGAGAAAGAAAAACAGGAGGAAGAACAGGAAAAGGGGGAACAGATGGAGCAACAGGCAAGGAGGAAAACAATGGAGAAGTGGAGGATGAACAGGAGGAGAAACTGCAGGAAGAAGAGAGAATTGACAAAGGAGGTAGAAGAAGATAACACAGGCCAGAACACAGAAGAAGAGAAGGCCACACAGGAAGTGAGAGAGAAGGCTTAAGAAAAAAAGGAGGAGACAGATGACATCATAGAAGAAGGAAACGACAATGGAGTTGGCAGAGGAGGGAAATGAAGAGAAGGAGGCAAGAGAGGATGTGCAGGAAGAAAAGAAGGGGGTGACAGAGGAGGGGACACTGGACGTGGAAGAAGAGAAGAAGGAGACAAGAGAGGAGGTTGAAGAAGAGAAGAACAAGGAGACACTGGAGGTGGAAGAAGAGAAGAAGCAAACAGCAGAGGAGGCAGAAAAGGAGAAGAAGGAGGAGACAGGGGAGGTGGAAGAAGAGAAGAAGGAGTTGATAGGAGCTGGAATAATAAAGAATGTGGCAGAAGAGGAGGAAGAAGAGGAGAAGGAGGCAATGGAAGAGACGACGAAAGAGGCAACAGAAGATGTGATGAAAGAAGTGACAGAAGAGGCGATGAAGTGGGTGACAGAAAATGGGATGAAAGAGGTGACGGAAGATGCCGTGAAAGAGGGGATGGAGGAGGCATCACAAGAGGCAATAGGAGGAGCAACAGAAGAGGCAATGGAAGGGGCAACAGGAAGGGGTGACAGAAGGGGCGACAAAAGAGGTGACAGAAGAGGCATTGAAAGAGGCACTGGAAAAGGAACAACAATAAAGGCAACAGAAGAAGTGACAGAAGGGGCAATGAAAGAAGTGACAGAAGGGGCAACGGAAGAAGTGACAGAAGGGGCAACGGAAGAATGGCAAAAAGGCAATGAAAGAGTCAATGGAAGAGTCAACAAAAGAGGTGAAGGAGAAGGTGATGGAAAAGGCAAAAGGAGTGGTGAGGGAAGTGAAGATGAAAGAGGGGAAAGAAGAGGTAAAGGCAGGGGTGATGCCAGGGCTGATGGAAGAAGTGACGGAGGAAGCAACAGAACAGGCAACAGAGGAGGCAACAGAGAAGGCAGTGGAACAGGCGATAGAGGAGGTGATGGAAGAGGTGACAGTAGGGGCCACAGCAGGGGAGACAATGGAGGAAAGGGAAGAGGTGATGGAATGATTGACAGACGAGGCAAGGGACATGGCAAGGCAAGGGGTGAGAGAAAATGTAAAGGAAGAGGGGAAGGACAAGGCAACAGATGGAGTGACGGAAGGGGTGACAGAAGAGGTGACAGACAAAGCAATGGCAGGGGCAACAGCAGGTGCGACAGCAGGGGTGACAAAAGGGGCAACGGAAGGGGCAAAGGAAGAGGAGAAGTACAGGGCAATGGAAGGAGTGACGGAGGCGGTGACAGAAGGCACATAGGACAAGGCAATGGCAGAGGTGACAGCGGAGGCAATGGAATGGGGGATGGAAGAGGTGATGGACAGGGCAAGGGAAGGGGAGAAGGAATGGGTGACAGAGAAGGTGACAGATGGGGTGATGGATGGGAAGAGGGAAGGGCCAAATAAGGGGGGATGGCAGGGGCGACCGGCAGGGGCAATAGTGGAGGCGATGGAAGACATGATAGACAGGGCAATGGAAGAGGGGACATAAGAGACAATGACAGGTGTGACGGCAGGGCTGACAGTGGCGGTGTTGGAGGGGGCAAAGGAAGGTGTGATGGAAAAGGTGATGGAAGGGGTAACAGAAAGTGCAACAGCAGGGGTGACAGTGGGGGCAACAGAAGAGGTGAAGGAAGAGAGGGAGAACGAGGCAAAGGAAGGGGCAATGGAAGAGGTGACAGCAGAGGTGATGGAAGAGGCAATGGATGAGGTGAGAGGAAAGGTGACAGAAAAGGCAAGAGAATGGGTGACAGAATGGGCAAGGGAAAAGGTGATAGAAGGGGCGCCGGAAGGGGCAAAGAAAGAGGGAGGGTAAGTACAAAGCAACAGACAGGGTGACAGAAGGGGCGATGGATAATGTGGTGAGAGGGGTGACAGTGAAGGCAACAGAAGAAGTGATGGAAGAGGTCATGGATGAGGTTATGGAAGGGACAATGTAAGAGGTGACAGGGCAACAGGAGATGCGATGGACAGGGCAATGGAAAGAGGGACGGAAGGTGTGACAGAAGGAGTGATGGATGGGGCAACGGAAGGAGCAACAGAAGGGGCAACAGAAGGGGCAACAGAAGAGGCGATGGCAGGAACAGTGACCAGTGGAGGTGACAGAAGGGTTGATGGAAGAGGCAACAGAATGGGTGATGAAAAAGTCAATGGAAGGGGCGACGGAAAAGGCAGCAGAAGGGACAATGGATGAGGTGACAGAAGAGACGAAGGAAGAGGGGACAGAAGAGGGTATGGAAGATGTGACTGAGGAGGCAATGGAAGGGGCAACAGAAGAGATGACAAATGGAGCAACAGAAGGATCAACAAAAGGGGCAATGGAAGAGGCAACCACAGGGATGACAGCAGAGTTGATGGCAGGTGCGACAGCAGAGATGGTGGATGTGGTGATAGAAGAGGTGACGTAAGGGGCAACAGAAGACGTGATGGAAGGGGCAATGGAGGAGGCTACAGCAGAGGCGACAGCAGGGGTGACAGCAGGGGCAAAATAAGATGCAATAGAAGTTGCAATGGAAGAAGTGACAAAAGAGGCAAGAGAAAATGTGACAGAAAACATGTCAAAAGAGGCAAAAGAAGAGGTCACAGAAAAGGCAATGGAAGAGGCTACGAAAGAGGTGCCTCTTCTGTCACCTCTTTCGTCACTTCTGTCAATTCCTAATCTGTTGCAGCCTCTTCTTTCGCCTCCTCTTGTCACCTCTTCTGTCGCCTCCTCTTTTATCGCCTCCTTCTTCTCCTTTTCTGCCTCCTTTCTTGCCTCCTCCATACCATCCTCTGTCTCCTCCTTCTTATCTTCTGCCTCCTTTGTTGCCTCCTTATTCTCCTCTCCTGCCTCTTTCATTGCCTCGTATGTCACCTTTTTCATTGCCTCTTTTGTTGCCTCTTCTGTTGCCTCTTACATCACCTCTTCTGTGACTTCCTTGGTCTCCTCTTCTGTCACCTCCTCTTTTGTCCCCTCCTTCTCCCCTTCTGCCTCCTTCATCACCTCCTCCGTTGCCTCCTCTTTCATTGCCTCCTTCCTCTTTTGTGACTTTTCTGTTGCCTCCTTCTTCTCCCCCTTTGCCTGCTCCATCACATCCTCCTTCTTCATGTCCAGGAGCTTTGCCTTGGGATGCTTTGTATTGATTTAAAAAGATATCCTCTTGGATGCCCCAGCAGCTGGATGGGAGCAGCATATGTACATTTTCCCTACAGCTGTTTCAAAGGAACCTGTATCTCTAAAGGACAATGCAGGTAAACTACCAGGTCACTCAGGACAACTGAAAGCTAGAGCTTTCAGAAAATTATGGCCTGAAAATATGAGTTTTTACTGAAATCAAGAGCTGGATCAATCATGGAAACATGACATAACTCTCAGTCATTAGTTTGGCACTTTAGTTCCTATGCTACTCACACAGTCTCTTGTTATGCCTGTGACTGATCCCTCCCCATCAGCCAGTTGTCTTGCTTTAGATCAGCAAATGAATGTGTTATTGAAATGTTCTGGATGTCAATACAGGTGAAACCTTAAGGCTTTGGTGGATCTGGCACTTAACATTGTTTTCTCAGTTCCTACAAAGGTGTAACGTCATTTTATGGTTGTAGAGATAGAGCAGACTCTTCAGATGCAGTTGAAATTTTATTATGGTGTGTAAATCAGCAGTGATTCTATGAAAATTTCCAGCAGGACAAATTCCCTAAACTTTTGATTAAGACAGTAAAGTATTCTGGCTTTGTGAGGTCTTTTTCTCCCACAATAGTTTTATTAACTTCATAAGGATTATGAAATAAAACTCAGGCAATTGCCACCTTCAGGGCAGTGCTGATATTACCAAAAAGTTGTAAGTTAATAATACCTGTGAGGAAGGCACAACTTATGAAGTAATTATATACTTATAAACCCTTACCTGTTGTCCTGGTTTTGCCTGGAATAGTTAATTTTCTTCCTCATAACTGGTATAGCGCTGTTTTTTAGATTTGGGATGAAAATAATTTTGGTAACATACTGATGTTTTTAGGTGTTGCTAAGCAGTCATGCTTCCCATGCTCTGGCCTGCCAGGAAGAAGGTGGGGAGTGTACAGGAAGCTGGGAGGAGGCACAGCTAGGACAGCTGACCCAGGCTGGCCAAAGGGATATTATATACCATATGATGTCATGCTCAGTATATAAACTGGGGGAGTTGGCTGGGGAGGCACTGCAGCGCAGGAACTGGCTGGGTATCAGTCAGCAGGTGGTGAGCAATTGCATTGTGCATCACTGGTTTTGTATATTCTTTTTTTTTTTTTCCCTGTCCTATTAAACTGTCTTTATCTTAACACATGAGTTCTACCTTTTTTTTTTTCTGATTCTTTCCCCCAACCTGCTGGGGCGGGGAGGGTGAGCGAACAGCTATGTGGTTGTTTTAGCTACCTGCTGGGCTAAGCCACAACACCTATACACCTATCTATGAATATATTATGTGAAGTGTTACTAGTTGTGAATACTACTCACAACAACGCTCACTGGAGTGGAGCTAATCAACACTTCAAAGATGATCCACATGACAGAGATCAGAGTCAACCAGGCTTCCCCAGCAAGAATCTGGTCTGTCTGGGAGATCTCATGCAGGGAACCTCTTGCAGAGATGCTGTGAGAGACTGAACCATGGGGCATTTGTCTCAAAGGGTGTTTGTCTGGGCGAGAAGTCCTTCAGCTGGCAATGGGAGTGACTGCAGGGCCACAGAGACCTCTGATTGGTGCTACAAGGCTGAATGATGCACCATCGAGTCATGCAATAGTCGTGTGAAGAGCGGGGCTGGAGCCGCGTGAAGCGTATGCACATGTGCAGATGGGCAAGTACATGTCATTGTCATGGAAATTGCAGCCCAATAATGAGAATAAAAGGAACTGCCAAGACAAGCCCTTGGACCCACACCGGCCGCCACAATCGCCCACCACCGAAACATGGAGAACCTTGGACCCTGGGATGCCATGGATCCATGGTGGTGACTATCCTTGCAACTCTATCCTGAATGCTTGCTTGATTTCTGTCTTTTTATTCCATTCTGTCCTATCGCTACTAATTTCATACTTTTGATAATGTTATAGCTACTATTTTTTTATTTTATTTTTGATAATAAAAATTGCTTTGGGTATACAGCATTTGACCTTGTTTGTGTCTTAATCTTGCTCTCAGGATAATATCGAAACCTCCCCCGACATTGGATCGGGACAGAGGCTCATTTTGCAAACGAAATGAGTTATTTTTTTATACCTTTTTGGTGTAGGTACGTAAGTGGGCATAGGATATTAGTGCCTGTAAGAGTTGTTGCTGACTGTTTTTCCTGGAAGGTCAGTTCTTTATCACAGTTTCTTTGTCCTACACCCATAATGGTTTCTTTGTCCTGCCAACTACTCCTCATCAAAGAGGTTTTGGCTGAATTTATCAGCAATATCTCTAATGAGATATTCTTTTTTGTCAGTATGTAGTGTAGGGGAAGTCTTTGCTGAGGCTTATTTTAGCTCATTCTCTCAAGGCCACTAACTGCACGGTTTGCCCTGAAACCAGGCAGCTCTGTCCCCAACAGCTGGGGGATGCATTCAGGGCCCTGACAGGAAGATAGTTACAGGCTATTAGAGCCTTTAGTGTACTTTATGACCTGACACTCATTACTGACCCCTAGGTATTGCAGGCCTCTGGCCAGATACAAAGCTTTGGACATGACTAGTTCTGCCAACACACAACTGCTGGTCTGTTCAGCCAGGTCATACTTCCACAGCATTCTTATATGAAAGCTGAGGGGAGGTGGGTCCGAAGTCTTACTAATGTGAGATTAACTCCACCACTCTTCCTTCTTCTACATTGCTACTCATTTCATCCTAGAAGGCAATCGGATTGATCATTCGACCTTGGTGAATTTGCATTGACTTTTCCTGATTCCTTCTTGTTCTTCTTTTTTTTGAGAAAGGATTCCCAGTAGAAATTATTCTATGAACATTCCAGGGACTGAGCTGGACTAGGCTGACCAGCCTATAGTTTGCAAGATGTCTTTCCCCATCATTTCTTAAAATGGGCGTGTGGTAGCTTTTTTTCTGCATCTGTCAGGACCATCCCCTGGCCATCGTAATGTTTCGTAGCTGACCAATAGCTACCCTGTGGTCTGTGGTGGTGCATCTTGCCCTCCCCGGCTCCTTGCTCGATAAGCCTTAGCCTTGGAGCAGAGAGTTTGGTGGTTAAGGGCCCCTTGACTGTACCAAGCACACTTGCATAGATGTGCTCATCTCACCATCCCCAGACAGCCTTGAAGCATATCTCATCTAGCCATGATTTGGGTGGATCAGTACCAGTGTCACTGGGATGTCAAGAATTCTACCAATTACCAACAAATTATTTGTGGCAAGGATGGAAATTTACTGATGCCTGAAGTCAATCATTTCCCAGTCCTATAAATAGTGGTCCCAAGTGAGATCCTTTGAGCTCTCCTGGACTGCAGTGGGCTGTGACCAACACCTCCCTCTGAGTGGAACGCCTCC